AAGCCCCTCGTAGAGTAAAGCGAACCTCCGACTAGCTTTTGGAATAAACCGGGATTTCTAACCTCCATGCATCAGGCTGGCTGTGTTGGGACTGACTACTCACTTGGGGCCACTCAAGACATATGAAGCCAGAAGGGACAACCTGGGTGGAACTAAGTTAGGGGGTCCTAGATGGAGGACTCAGGAATGATGAATCCATGTCCTTTTCCTAGGATGCTGAGGGCCGAGAGAGAAAGCCAGAGCTGTAACGGGAGAGAACGTGAGGACCCTGAGACAAGCCTTCACCCCACTGCGCTTGGACGTCCTACGCTGATCCTAGGCCTTTCAGGGCCAGGAGTGGCAACCACTGCCAGGCCCGATGCTGCAGAGGGTCTTTTCCCCCAGGCAAGCCTCTCCCTGTCCGAACTGCCTGTCAGCTTCCTGCAATCCTAGCAACCCTGCCACCACCTTGCTCTGGACAGACTGCTGGACATCGACACGGCAGAGCATGCAACCGCAGCCGAGTTTGCTGCAAGACGGGCCCCATCATTCCTGGGCTCCCACAGACCCGGTTCACAGAACGAAACTCTTGGGGGCCCAGCAGACGGAGCCAAGGACACACTTTCTCATTTCCCGCAGTGCCAAGAGCCCAAGTCCTTCTTCTGGTTTTGATTCCCACATGCATTAAAGGCTTGATATGAGAGGGGCCAGCAGGTGGCATGGTGGTTGAGGGCGCTGGACTCCCACGTGGCCAACCGCGGTTCAAGTCTCGGACCTGGCAGCTTGCTTTCTCCCTCTCAGGTCAAATTGAAATGAATAAATAAATGGATAAATAAAGTTAAATAAAATTATATTTTTTTAAAAAAAGGCTTGACATGAGGCCCTCACCTCCCCCTTAGCTGGTCACTGGGACCTTCTGATGGAGCTGGTCTGGCTTGCAGCCTGGGCGTCGCCATCTTTAAGAGCTCCCCAGGATTAACACCCTATTAGTCCTGGTGTGGTGGCAGAGGAATGCAGGGAACTGGGAGGCCAAACGTCCTTTCTCACCCTCCCCCGACCCAAACAAGGGCACTGTCTGCTGTTTCGTTTTAGTATGTTCCTTAAGAAAGACACCTCAGCTACGATTACCCAGCCTATCCAGATAAAAACAGCTCCCTCCAACCCCTCGGGACCAGGAGTCAGCATAATGGCTATGTTGCTGGACTCCCATGTAGTCGACCATGGTTCGCATCCCGGACCCGGTGGCTTAAACTCACGCCGGGCACATGTGCATGCATGCCCAAAATCCTACGAGAACAGAGGAGAAGGGATTGCGGCGTGGCCATCCCCCCTGGGGGGTGATTTCTCGCTTTCTGTCTCTCTGTCTCTGTCTGTCTGTCTCTCTGTCTGGTGAGCACATGTGCCCTATAGCAAAAACCTCTCCAAAAAAAAAAAAAAAAAGCAGCTCCCCTGAGAGTGGGCAACCTCCAGCCCAGGAAGCTCAGGCTGCCCACAGCCCTCAGGTGCGTTGGCCTAACAATCCTGCCGTGCAAAAGCCAGAGCGGATGCATGGAGGACCACTCTAAACTGGACTCGGGAGCCTGAGGAGGTCTCAATCTCATGCACAGTTCATCATGGAGGGCTGAGGACCGCAGCCTCAAGGCCCCAGTGGAGCCTCCATTTAGTGGGGCCATTTCAGGGAACAAAATGTACCTTCCAGGGGCCTGACAAGAAGCAAAGCTCCAGATGTTTTGCATCCTCTCTCTGCCCTGGTTGATTCTGTGTTCAGACCAGTCTGGGGACGCACCTGGAGGTTTGCGTGGTGAGAAAGGAACGTCCCCTGTGGCGGAAGCCCCTAATCAAGAAACTGCGGGGAGAGAGGGGAAGGGGCTTTCTCTCTGCACAAATTGCACAACTTGGAAGTGCATATTCTCCAGTCCCCAGGAGAGAATCAAACTTCGTAGTAATTACTGTTGTGAAGTACATCTGTGTTTGGAGCCCAGATGCTCTGAATGTCAGAAACGCTGCAAGGATCAATCCGTCTCCTTGCATTTTCCTTCCTTTTGGTTAATTTCCCTCTTCTTCGTGTTGAAGTAATTAAGAGAATTGTTCTTGCATGACTTCCAGAGTTGCCAAAATAAGATAAAATACAGGACATCTTATTAAATGTGCATTTCTGATACACAGTGAAGAGTTGTTCGGAACGTCCCCCATCTTGCAACAATCCGTTGTTTATCTGGAATCCAAATGGAACGGGGCCTCCTGTATTTGTATTCGCTAACGCTGACAACCCTAATTGGTTCCGTTCTCATTTCCAGCTCCTGTTTGTTTTAACTGACACTAACAGATCGTATCATATCCAGCCACCGTGCTTGGAAATCAGGAGGTCCCACTAGTGTTGGGGCAAGGCCGGAAGTCAGGAGGTCCCGCTAGTGCTGGGGCAAGGCCGGAAGTCAGGAGGACCCCCTAGTGCTGGGGCAAGGCCGGAAGTCAGGAGGACCCACTAGTGCTGGGGCAAGGCCGGAATGCCGCCTTGTCCTCCGAACAAGCTGGTGGGAGGCGGCCTGCAGCACAGCCCTCCCTGGAACCTGCTAACATCTCCGACTCAGTCTCTGACTCGCCCATGTAGGCCCCTGACTTCCCAGAGTGAGGAAATTACGTAATTATGTCACTTGTCCCCTTTTCAAAGCCTTTTGAGGCAGCAGATTTCCCGTATGCCTCCGTGCTCTCGTGAAAGCGCCAGTAGTGTGAGTTGATGGAGACCCACCTTCACGCCGTCCCCTCATGGGGTCTCACCCCCTGCATTCTACTGGCACAGGTCCCCACAGCCGGGGGTCCAGGAGCCTCCCGAGATGGGGTGCTCCACAGAGTTAGCATCGCCCCACACGTACAGCAAGTGCCAGCACACACTGGTTGAATAAATGAACTGGTAGCTTAGACAACGGCGGTGCGGGGGAACTAACACGGGGGTCCTCAGAGCCTGGTCCTGGCCTGGTTCTGTCTGTAACTGGCTATGTGACCTTGAACAAGCTCCTTCCTCTACTCTTTTTTTTTTTTTTAAGCTTTATTTATTTCTTTCTTCCAATGAGCAAAAGAGAGAGAGAGAGAGCACCCTACTGCCAACAGGGTAACGATGCCACGATCCGCCCCCAGCCTTAGCAAGCCCAGATCGAGACGGGCAAGTGTGTGCCCAGGATATGCAGGGAGGTCTCCGGATGTGAACCCAGACTCTCTCGTCGTGGGTCAGTCTCACAGAGCCACACAGATACTGCGGTGCCACTCGTGGGTCCCAGCACCTCCCCATCTTGAGCCTCAGTTTCCTCGTCTATGAGATAAGGATAACTCCACTGTCTTCTCCTGTCCCCTCAGAGGCTTACGGTGAGCCTTCGGGGCTGGGGGCAGGAAGACACGGTTTGAAAAGAAGACAGACACGTGTCATCTGAGAGAGGGGCAGGAGGCCTTCCATGCCTTTCCACGGAGACCACATTTTCTGCACCAAAACCTGGCACTGTCTTCTGACCATTTTTTCCCCTGGTTCTGAGTGAAGGAATTTGGACACCAGCATTCAGAGACTAATAAGAGATGATATAGAATTAGGGCTGACCCAGATTTTTCCAGTCGTACAATGGACTGTCACCTTGAGAGTGACAGGGATGTAGAATGTCAGGTCTGGAGGCCAAATATCCTGTCCGCAACGTCATGCAGCCTGGGCATAGCCGGGTTAAAACCTAGGCCTCAAGGGCCGGCAAGTGGCGTGGTGGTTAAGGTCACTGGACTCTCACATGACTGACACCAGTTTGAGTCTAAGACCTGGTGACTTGCTTTCTCTCTCTCTCTCT